AAGTCCTTCATCATCTGGGCACGGTAAGCCTCTGGGTAATACTTATCCTTGACTATAGCAACCATCTGGTCCCAAGTCAAGGCATCCTTCTCAGCACGAGGACGAAGCCTCTAGTAGTCAATCCACCAAGTCCTAGCGTCTCCGGTCATCATGAACGAAGCACAACGGATTTTCACTTCATAGTGGTGAATAGCAGATCGAAGATACTCTCCAGCTGCTGAAGCCATTCATCCACAGCTTCGGGGCCCTCAACTCCGGTGAATGCCGGAGGATGCATGTTACGGAAATCCAACACAGACTGGGTAATGAGATCTCTACCCGGGGCCTGCTGCTGAGGAGGAGGTGGAGGCGGGGGAGGTGGTTGCTGCTGATTGCTATTGCGGGTTTGGCGAGCCATTATTCTACATTGAAAAATGGTCGAGGAATTTAGCACAATAATAAAAGAAATCTAGAGTTCAACACTAGAGTTCGCATTTTAAAAGGTGGATAAGCCCTAACCCCGATTTTATTTCAATAATCAATGATCAAGCAATAAACAATCATCTCAAAATCATTCACGTACTCATACCTGAGTTGGCGCGGCACGACGAGAGCGAGTGGTCATAACTAACATATAATCACATAATTCATGTTGCGAGTATTTTTTACCGGAGTAGAATCGAAAGATTCGTTCCCCGGGTCGTATCGCAAGGAAGGTTAGTCGGATTCAATTGTACGATTATTCGATCACGAGAAAGCAAAGAAAACTTCCTAAACACTCTATTCAATAATTTTGGGGTTTTAATTATCAACTAAGATTGAAAACTAATGCAAACAAATAAATAGCAAGTGAATAAACTCAATTGATTAAAGAACTAGGGAATCGGGGATAATTGCTTTCGGTTTTAACACAACTACCGGCAATCAATTGCTCGGTTAAAGGACTTGAATCGTCTCTCGTCCAGAGGCTCATTCTCAATAACTCTTCGTAACAAGAGAGTGAACGTACACGATCAATTATCAATTCCAACAACTCATAGACAATACTATTACGAACAAGCCTACTCTAAACAAGCCTATATCGACCAACGTCTCCCCTCTCGGTTCTACACGTTGATTAATTAGGTTAGAAAGGTGATCAATCTACTAACCCTATAATAAGAACAACTTGAATAGATATAGACAATTAAGAACAAGCAATTATAATCGAACCTAATCAATCATCCCCTATCCCTAGCATATGGATTTAGCTACTCATATGGAATTCAACATCAAAACTCATAAAAACCCAAGCCATCATCATCAATCACACAATTGAGAAAAGAATAACTTACGATTAATAAAAGAATCCCAATGTCAAATCCACTGAACAATCCAAATCCAAGCCAGAAAACAGAGTTTTTAATCTCCAAAACCAATCCAAAATAGCTAAAGTATGAAAAGGAATGAGTTTCTAGAGAGAAAAAGCATAAAAACGAAGTCTGGAATGTGAATAATCATGTCTAGGTCGAAATTCTGAACTTAAAATCCCGTCCTCGAAAATCGTGCCGATCAGGTCGCGAGTCGCGACATAAGTCGTGAGTCACGACTTCCAGTTTTGCCGAGTCGCGAGTCGCGACATCTCGCGAGTCGCGCGTCTTCGAAAAATATGTAAATTCTGGGTCGCGATCTGACTCGCGAGTCGCGACTTGTCTCGCGAGTCGCGACATGGACTCGCGAGTCGCGACTCATCTCGCGGAACTCGCCTTTTCGTCTCTGTTGGACTCGCGAGTCATGACATTCTCGCGAGTTGCGACCATCTCGCGAGTCGCGACACTGACTCGCGAGTCGCGAGAAGTTCTGGGCAGCATTTCGGTCCGTTCTTTCGGTCCTTCCTTCAGTATTCTGAGCACGTTAATGTGTCTTCTTGATATCCCGATCTCAGCTCAAGTAGTCTCGTCCTCGATCAACACAACCTACCTCCTGAAAACACAAACACGAAGAAAACATGAAGCAAAACACAGCAAAAAGACGCACAAAACGAACTAAAGAGAAAAACGTAAAAATCACAGAATTGGACCAAATAAACCACGAAAATCCTATAAGTGGGGAAAAATAAAGAGAAAATGACCCAAAATGAAGACACAAAAATGGAACAAACAACTCCCCCACACTAAAACCTTTGTTCGTCCCGAACAAAAAGAAATGAAAAAAAAAAGAAAACAAAACAAATAAATGATCAAGGACAACGGTTCAAGCAAGACCAATCTCAAACATATCAATTAAACTGAGAAGAATTCCAATGATTACAAGAACACACCTCAATAATCAACTTAGTCATTTTGAAGAACAAAGACTCTCAAGAACAAGTATATATATACATATGCCTCACTCAGTTTCTTCGCAAAATATAAAAAAGGAGCACTCAAATTGGTCATCAATCAAGTCGATCATAGATTTGCCTATCGACTAACTTCTACTCTAAAACAATAAAATTTATAAAACAACGAATCAAGAGGTCTTAAAGGGTTGTACCGTATGCTCTTTGGACCGGGTAGGAAAAATATAGGCTAAGTGGCTCAAAATACATCAACTCAACTTTGCACCCAACCATATCAACAAACACATCCAGTTGTCACCAACCGGCTCCTCCCACTAACTCCAAGACCAACATACATCCCAAGTATTTTTTATTTTTTATTTTTTTTTGCGAAAACCATTTGGAAGTCTTATCTAGGTTTAGCCTTCGGGTTTTCTGCCGAGTCTCCTAGACCGGTTTCCCGTACTCATGGCTCTTATCCACTACATTAGTGGACGCAGCGCTAGGAGTATAATCCATTTGGCTTTCCCATATTTTTTAATTTTTTTTTGTTTTTTTTTTCTTTTTTTTTTTGTTTTTTTTTTCAAAGTAAATAAACATATATGCAATACAATCAACTATCACCTCCAACATTCATCCCGCAACTCTATATCATCATCACGAGGCTAATCAATAAAATCGATCAAGACTCAAAGGGGGTAACTAGTGACTGTTATACACGAAAATAAAAAGGAAAAGGGTAATACAAGAAATGCCTCAATCATATTCATGTTTCACAAATCTAATCGAGTTATTTCAAAGCAGTCTCAAGGCAAATTCTACTTGACAAGATTCCGACCAATATCACACAAGAAACAAAATAGGCTCAAACCTCACAAGGTAAATATGTTCCTCAAAATAACCAAGCCAATTAATCAAAATGCATTACTCGATCACAATCATAACAACTTCTCAAATTCAACCAACAGTTATCAACCAGTCTTACAATACACCATAATCCAAGTTCAGAAACGAATAGAAACCTAAAACTAGACTGGTCCACCACGCAAAAGAAAGACATAAAACAACATAAAAAGAGAAACTAGACCTGGTCAACCAAATAGCCACATAAAACATGCAAAAACTCCCCCACACTTAAAAGCAGACAATGTCCCCATTGTCGACTCTCGGCGAAGGGAAGTTGTACTACATAATCAACCGATGCAACTAAGAATAGAAAATACAGAAAATAAAATAAAAATAAAAGAGAAAAGAAAAGAAACAACTGACCAACACAGTGACAAGTCACTGTGGATCGGGAGGAGGCGATGGAGGATGAGTATCAGATGGGCCGGCACCGGAACTGAACTGGGCATCCCACCGGCCAAAGCGCTCGTCCCACTGCGCGTGGCGAGTCGCAATAACCTCCACACGGAGGTTGACGCTCGCGAGCTGGGCACTGATATCTCGCATGTCATGATCATAGCGGTCCTCGAACGCCGTCCACCAAGGCGGAGGCTGGGACCACCAAGCTGGCGGGGTAGAAGACGCAGCCGGATGCTGCTGATGATGATGTGTGGCTCGGGGTGCTCGGCGATCGGGACCGGGAACAGGCTCTGGGGCAGGCTGCCAACCAGAAGGAGGCGGAAGAAGACGGCTATCGTCAAGAACAGTCTGATCATGGTCCATCTCATCCGCCTGATGAGTATCGTCGGTCGCCTGCTGAGGACGAGATGAGCTCGCCCGGGCAGCGGCAGCCGCAGCCTCCAACTTCCTCATGTACGTAGAGTAGGCCTGGCGACTCCTATAGACCACGAATGTGCGTCGGTCGGAGATCAAACCCGAATGGTGCAGCTCAAATACGTCAATGCGCCGCATCGGGACAGGAGAGCTTCCCGAAGCCATCGGATCGACACCGAGATGGAGAGCAAAAGCTGTCACCACATGTCCGAAACATGCAGCTGCCTGCTTATTCCGAAGCACTGCCCGAAACTCCTCCTTCAGATACTCGCGCACATTCAGATCGGCACGTCCGATCATGGCCCAGAGCACGGAAAGGTCAACCTGCGTGACCGTATTGGCCTCCTTCTTCCCTAAGAGGCCATAGCACAAGAACTTGTGCATATTGGCAATCGCACCGTGCTCGATAAGGCTGTTAGGCATGCCCTGTGGGTCCCACATAGTGTCGGGAGAGAGCTCAGGCCAGAAGCTAGCTGGGGACATGCCGGATACCGTCGAGAAGCCGTCATCCGTAAGTCCCAAAATTCGCTCAAGGGATTTGTTGCCTATGACCTGTCGGGTCACAAGCAGCCGGAAAGTCATATCATCGGACCCATCAACATTCAGTCGGAATTCAAGAGTACTAAAGAACTCGAGCGTCAGGTTCCGGTAAGTAGGATGGAAAACATCGGCATATCTCCTCAAATGAAGCGTGGTCAAGTACTGCTCAACCGTCTCCAAAACGCCCAAGTCCGAAAGCAAGGTGAAGTCGAGCGTTTTGGACTTGAGGACCTCCTTCTTGGCGAGCCGGGAGTAAATTTC